ATATCAATTATAATCCCATAACATCATACACATTTCCATACAGCAACTTCTATAACAACATACTTACTCCTTTACAGAAAGAAATTATAACACATCTTCATCTATGTACTCATTTCAGACTGCCTAAACAATTCTTAACACATTTTAAAAAATTCTAAACTATGAGTGTAGAGATTTAAGCTTTACCAGCAACAAAGGGCTAGTGTACAGTACCTGTCCTGTTTCTGTTTTTTCACTGCACCATTTCCCTAAGTCAATCAGGCACTTGTCCTGGAGGGATGGATCTAGTTTCACGTCCATGGCACGCTGGTGAAGGATTCGCTGTACTTCTGCTCTGCACTCTCGTGATAACTACATGGAAAGCAGAAAAAAACTGTTAAAAGGTACAAATGGAGTTCTGACCTGTTCCACAGTAAATGAACATATCAAGTTATTCAGAGGTAAATGCACCATGGAAAAAGATAACAAATCTCTCTCAACACATTCAGGTCCTTCCTCCTAAAAGGTACAGACCACTGTGCTTGGCCTCCACAAGCCAAGCAGTTCCTACTCCAAAGATGTCCTGTACCCTGGCTTCTCTTGTGGACTGGGGATAGTCTCTCTACCCCATCCACTATAACGGGTACTTAATATTCTACAATCTTTGTGGCACAGTGTTCAATAAAAATCATTTTAATGAAAGGTAACATTCACTTTGTTTTTTAAATTAACTGCCAAATACATCTCTAAAATCAACAAGATGCTGCTGTATTACAACTGAAAGAGGACTATGGGGACTACATCTAAATATGAGGGACTGCTTAAGTCAAAATGTGTTTGGTGTCAATCTAAATGAAACAGTCCAAATCCTAGCACAATCTGACCCAACTTGTGAGAACCCCAGCAAAGTAGGTTTGATATCCCTCAAGACCAAGGCAAACCATGGAAGGATACAGGATTTAAATAGCAAGTAGCACGGCAGGTCCCGCCTGAACTATACTGGCAGAGTTGCTGACAAGTTGCAAGATTAAAGGAAGCATAGAAGGTTACCTAGCATAAATGTGAACACCATTAGAAGAAGATACAAGATAGGATCTTGTCCAGTGATTGCCTTATAGGAGTGCAGCTCTTATTCATTTGATCAGTAACCTTCACTAGCACTAAATTGCAGGCATTTGTTCTCCAATCCTTCTTCAGAAGGAAAATAGTTTACACAAAGAACCTGCCCATCCTAACTGCTGGATCACTTGCAGTGAACCTTAAATTCCTGTGGTTACCACCAAGGCAAAATGAATTACAATGACAAATCTCCCTGCTGGTACCAGACACTGGAATTCAAAGCCACTGAAAGATGGTTCCTTCCTTCCCCATCATAAGAGAAACTTCTGATCAACCGAATCTTCCACCATAAGACAATTTACATTAGGCTCTAGAAATTCATTAATACTGCTGTGTAATCCCATTACAGCTCCCTGGAACTGAACTCTACAATGTAATATGAGAGGAGGAACTGGATCTTTGAAAAGCACCCCAACTATTTCCAAGAGATGCTTGGTACCCCCACAACACTAGAGTAATCTCAACAGTAATCTCAACAGAAAAACTCACCAACTCCAAGTGTAAAAATAGTTCAGATAGATTTCTACATAGGAAAGCATCAGTCCATTCAGTCAAATTTTCTCCATGCTTTTGTTATAGGTTTATATTGCAAAAGGAATTATGTTATCTGCCGCAAAGGGCTGAAAGACAGTTTGTACCACTACATTTGGTTTAAGTAATCCATTAAACTCTGAAGAAATACAAAAATGTCCCTAGGTCAAAAAACTAAATGCAAGTACATTTTTATAGCTAGGTCTGGCAATATTCAATTTCTATTGATAAACAGTGACATCATCTCACACACGTAGGCCAATGAAAAAATATTTCTGCCGGTAATCGAGAGAGGAGGTAATAAAAAATATCTGGGATGGGGATTAGGAAATATGGTGTAGGCGGAAGGGTGCCAGGTGCACACACACTGACTATGAGTAAGGCTTGTAAGGCTGCAGAACCCACATGAAGGAGCTGGTGGGCAGAGGCCAGGGCTGTGCCCTAGTAGCAGAAAAAAACCTGGCTCCCAGCCAGCCCCACAGGCAGAAGCGGAGACAATGGGGCCTGGGTTGCTCCTCTAGCCCCATTCCAGGTTGGCAGAGGACAAACAGACCTCCCCCCAAGGGCATGCAGGAGAAACCCACCCACATGAGGCAGCAAGGAAGGGTCTTACTCTCTCAGGGGCTGCTCTGGCACAACCCATGCTTGTGGCTAAGTTTTCCTGGAGATACACAGATACACACAGGTGCACGGGCTGAACTCCCACAGAGCTGCAGCCAGTAGCACCAGGCTCCCAGCTGCCAACAACCCTGCCCCAGCTCCTACAGCCTTACTACCCCCAGCTCCTACAGCCTTACTACCCCCAGCTCCTACAGCCTTACTACCCCCAGCTCCTACAGCAGCTGCCTGAGCTACTGCCAAAGCAGCAGTGTATGGGCAGTGCAGCATGGACTTTCCCCACCCCACTTAAATTTAAATCGATAAAAATCTATTTAAAATTACATAAAAATAACCACCGATTTTAGCTGTTGAAATAATAAATCTGAATTCTGCCAAATCTATTTACAGCACAGAAAAATCAAATGACTTGTTGGGAAGAGGGCTACTCAGTATCCACAAGCAGATTCAGACACAGAACTCTTAATTCTCAAGCCTTACTGCAATTGCCTGGTTCCATTCTGCATCTGGAAGTGGCTATTTCTCTAATGAGAACTCACATACTTTCTCAACTTTTCAAGGAAGAGTTTAGGTCTATGCAAAAACCTGGGAAGGATATTTTAGTTTATGCAAAATATCTGCAAACAATTTCCTCAACTAGTATTTCAACAGTATTAGCAATTTTAATGAAGGTTGACCAAAGTCTGAACTCATACCAAGATTTCTTATGTCATTAATTGATATAATGAGAAGTTAAGTTTCTACTGCATACCCTCCTTCCCTGCTCCTCTGTGCGGTATGCATGTCTATACAAGCAGGAAAACACAGCTCCTGGAGGCATCAGCTCACTAGTCTCATTCCACCCATGGGTATGGCAGAGCCGAGAGGCATCTCCCTGACACTTGCGGTAAAGAACAGGGTCCAATCTGTAGAAAATAAGAATTTGCATCATCACTACCACAGCTTACTAGAGCACTTTCATGCTGTCAAGGTTAGCAGATATTTTATAATTTTGCTTCTAAACAAGGTCCACCAAACAACTGGCTTGATACTAATAAAATGGATTAAAAACCATTTTAAGTTGCACACAGCAATACTACACAGTATAGTAGTACTAGAGATTAGAAACTCTAATAAGCTAAACCAGCAGGTTGGCAGAATACGTATCATTGAATTTGGAACTGTCCCTTCCCTTGAAAAAAAGTGTTCTGGGCTCTTCAATGCCTACAGGTAGCAATGTCCTTGGTTTACAGCCTTATTTAAAGAGGTCACTTCAAGCAGTGGTCCCTTGAAAGGGGCACGGAAATGGGTCTTATTCTAAAAACTCACAGGAAAGAATGAGCAACCAAATCACCAATGTTACTCTCATGAGCACCCCAACTCTTAAGGGCTCCCAGACAAAAAGTAACTAAGAATGACACAGCTTAGTGCACAGAAATTGATAAATCAGCTCACTCAGGTGGCACAGCAGCAGGTCAGGATAAAGCCAAGTCACATACATAACAAATTTGCCTATACAGCATAAACTGTAAGTACTATTATTTCCACTTTGAAATGTGTCTAAAACGTAAAAGAAGCAGAATTGGTTCTAATTTAGCTGAATGATATAGATACGGGGTGACAAAGTTAACTGAAGATCTATTGCAGCCTGCCATCACAAACAAGGGGTCTGCTCTAGCAAAGATGCTTAAATTTTAAACCAAGCAAGCAGCTTGGTGTTGCCAGCCTCCTGGTATGGAAATTTAGTGACAAAGCAAAGGATGATAAATAGCATCAAGCTTTCATTGCATTTTTTAAAGGCAGAACACAGGTAGCATTGGTGGACCAAACTATATGAACACTTGCTTTAAAAAGCAGTAAGGAAAAAAAGAATGGTGCACAACTTCTAGTCTGTTCCTCCCTTTAGGAATTTATGCTGCAATTTTATTAGCCAGTTCAAGAGAACACTGATTAAATATGCAAGGCCAGGAAAAAAAAAACTGTTGACTTCAGATCTGAATTTGAATAATATTTGTTCTAGCAGAGCAAGGGTTAAATACATGTTAAATCAGCAGAAGGAAAAACTGTGAATTGTGTGATTTGACTCAACCAAGAGACTCACTGCTGGAAGGATGGCACAGGCAGCAAACTCAACTATAGCAGAGGAAAAAAAAAGCACTCACAGCTATCACTGGAAGTGACTAGCTAAACAAGCAGCAATAAGAAAACATTAAAGGGAATTCCACCCAATCCATGGGGTGAAAGTCAGGTCCTCCAAGTTCTGGAACAAGGTGGAGAATGGAAGCATTTTAAGCTCCATAAAAACAAGAGCCAGCATCTTAAGAGTGAATTCTTGCTGTAGTGAGCAGAAAGTTTCTTCGTTTTTATAATACCCATCACTGCAACACTTTCATTCCCATCTGCTGAGAAAGAGAACTTACACTGAAGTATGAACAGTGAACTGATTACACTTATACACATGTTGAGCCTCAGAGCTCTAATTAAAGACATGTTTGCTAGAAAGTTTGATCCTGTACCTCTGAACTAGTGCCAGACATCAGTGGGTGGCCCCACAGCATATCTGATTAACAAGATACCAAACTGAAAGATGAAGTGCCAAGTCTCCAGGGCAAAAATATGTTGATCATATTAGTATAGGATAAACTTCACTGGGCAACAGAAAGCAACACTGGTGGGAATTACTTACCATATACTTGATATGAACAATATGGAAAAGAAGAGCACTTTACATTTTAGAATACTCACTTCCAATCCCGAGAAATAAAGTACTGGAGTTCCAGGAGCCTGTGTTCACAGTCTTCTACCATCTTCTCAGTGTACAAATGCTCCATTAGGCAAGACAGAATCCTGTGAATGGGAGACAAAGAAAAGAAGGGGAGATAAGCGAGACCAAACTGAGATGCCCCCGCTACGTGTAAATGGGCTAAATCCACCCTACATGCAGCCCTCACCTGGTGGAATTTGGGCTGGAAAGAGGTGCAAGTCTGAACAGAGAACATATTTACCATCAGAAAGCAGCCAAAATAGCTTGCCTCCCATGTACCATACCAAATTCTACTGCCTAGATGAACCTGTTGCAGCAATACTGACAAATTGGGAAAACAGCGTCAAGTGTTTTATTTCTGATAAAGTAACGAGGCTCAAAAAAGGATATAAAAAGCAAACATTTCTGTCCACAACATGCATTTCCTTCTCTTGTCTTTCAAGACTTGTTACTGTACTTTATCACACTTCTGATTAGAGAAATGAGGCCAAGGTTCTGTGTAAGAAGAGAAGCTCACATCAAATGATTCCAGTTTAACCTACAACTACAAAAAACTCGTCACATCCCCTGCTAATGCCAAGGCAACCTAGTAGCTACAGCAGCTCAGAGAGTCTAGTTCCTACCTCTGATATTATATAAGTCGCTCATACATGTTGCAGATTTGCTTGGAATTCTTTGTTTAGGGTTGGTTAATATAAGTCAGTAAGCAAACTCTATGCATGCCCATGCCCAGTAGCAATGATAAAGCTTTTTGTAACTGCACAGCAGATACCTACATGGGGTCTCCAGATCGAATGTGTTTGCAAGCAGTCTGTATTACTGATTCACAAGCTTCATTCAGAGCTCTGTCAATGCGGTAATCTGCGCCAGGGTCAGTCTCTTGAATCAGAGTTTGAAGCTGGAACAAAAGAATTGAAGACAAGAAAAAAAAACAGTTTAGTCAGCATGGCCAATCAAAGAGAGCTCCCATCTTCCAAGTTAACAATTCCACAACAATAACTGCACTGTAGTAGGCACGGTGATTTGAACAATTAAATGAAAAGTTTTGAATTTTTCATTTAAAAAAATTCACAGCTACTTGTAAAATTTTGAAGATTTAATTTTAAATCTTTCACGGAGCAAGCAAGTTGTACCACCTGAAACCCAAGACCTTGCTCGTGCCTTTGTTTGAGGTAATTTGCATTGCATTGTTGGGTCAGAATGGCATATGGTATGGGAATTTTTTCCTTCCATAGGGACATGGGCCTCTTCCTAGGGCCTTCTGAGCATGAAGAAACTAGTTACAGCCCTGTCACTGAAGTGCCTGTGATTTGGCAATGCCCTTGCCTCACCTGTTTTTACCTATCCTATGTCATAAGGTGGTGTTGGTGTTCCAAGTACTGCGCATGGAGGTTACTAAGAGTTTTAAGTGGGGATTTTGGAGTTTCCTTGATTCTTAATGATTGCCTCAGAATTCAGTGGACTAGCTTTTATGGCCCAGGAGGCCCTTCCCACTCCTATTTGTCTGTGGAAACTTTTCCTTTCACTGTTTTTTACCAAATCATCATCCCTTCCCTTTTTCTGGTTGCTGTAGCATTTAGCTATGGTAGTGTGAAGTATCCCACTTTGTTGATGATCTGAATTAACAGACTTGGAGCAGCTCCCAGGATAGCTTTGTAAGTAAAAGTGAAGCACTGAAGCAGTCTGGCCCTTTCAGAGGTCTGACCATATGAAATGTGGGCAAAATCAGCTCCAAAGGAAACTGCCAGATCATCTTCCCACTGTGGTCCTCAATGGCTTTTAGTCCCAAAAAATGACAACATCTCTGTAAATTTGAAGTGAATTAACTTAAGCAGAAACCCATTGTTTTTAATATGGCTTATTGTGCCTGCTAGGCAGGACTCCTTTGAGTTGCTTGCTTCCTTCAAAGTTGAAATCAGAATTAAATTGACTTCCAGCCAGATACAGGCTATGGGAAATCTTTTGTGTTTAATTTAGATAGCACATGGCTTTCTGTCTTGCTTGCAGATTTTGTTTTGGTTAAATAAGACCATCTTTTGGTTTATCCAGTTTCTTTGATGTCCTCTAATTGTAGTGTGGTGTCAGGGCTTTAATATTTCTGCAGATGCACTGGATGGTTCTCAGGTGTAAAACTTGTAATGTGGAGGATAAAGTCTTCCTTGCATTCTTGATTCAAGTATTCTAGGGATCCATACAGTCACAACATCATGAAGTAGGTGGAGAGAGAAGACAAGTATGGGTTTAGGTGGCTTAAGAGCCTAAGAGAATAAGCAGAAGTTATGTTTGTCCTGGGAGGACCTGGTTTTCCTCAGAACAAACCCAAGAAAAACTGGTTTCTCCAAGGACATTATGTGGTCTTCTAGGTATCCAGTACCTGGGACAGAGCCTGAAAACAAATGTAGATTAAGTAGTAATGGTTTGATCCAGGGCATTGCAAAGTGTCTGAAAGGTTGTCCCTTGATGTATATCATCCTGGGATAAGCAGCTCAGCCAGTCCTTCAGGCATCTCACAATGCATAGCTTCTGCCCAAATCCTGGGTCCGTTTTGATTCATGTTGGTCACTTCTGCTAAAAGGGCTAAACTCTACTGCGTGGAGGCGACAAGGTACAGGTGGTTGTGCCAATTTGTTAATTGCTTGGAATGGCAAGTTGCTAGCCACTTCATGTTTGCCATTTGTCCAGTCATCATTAAAACCTGCTTCCATCTGAACAGCTGTGGATATATCCAGCCATCAGGCACCTTGTAGCAGGTTTTAAGGAGATAGGTGCAGGCATTTCTGAGAAACTGAATCTTAAACTGCTAAAAGCAAGTCATGTCACTTGCTGGCAGCCACTGCCTCCTGTCATCCTGCACACATCTGGGAGCCCACACCCCTGGGAGGAGTCTAGCAGCGCTAAGAGGGCAGGTTGAGCTCTGTGGGGCAGACAAGACAAACCTGCTTGGAGCACAGCCCTAGCTCTCCCTGCTTCCTTGCCCGCACTTTGAGCAGCTCCACCAGCCCCATGGAGCTCAGCCCAGTGGCAGGAGAGCCAGGGGTGGAGTCACTCAGAGCACAGCCCGGTGGCAGGAGGCTCCACAGCCCCACGGAGCTGAGCCTGCTGGTGGGAGGCAGGGAAAAGCCACTGGCCAGGGCTGCACTCCAAGCAGCTCCACCACTGGCTCTCCTGCAGCCTCCCACCACCAGGCTGAGCTCCACAGGGCTGGCAGAGCCACTTGGAGCACAGCCTGGCAGCTGGAGTCTCCACAGCCCCACGGACCTGAGCCTGGCAGTGGGAAGCGGCAGACAGCTGTAGCGGAGCTGCTTGAAGCACGGCCCTGGCTCCAAGTACAGCCCTGGCCAGGGGCTCTCCCCCACCTCCTGCCATGCCAGGCTCAGCTCCATGGGCTGATGGAGCCACTCAGACTGCAGCCCGGTGGCAGGTGGAGGAGAGCCAGGTCTTGAGGCAACATGAGACCATTGCTCCTTGTTCTGTCATCTGCCACCACTGAGAAGAGTCTTGTTCCAATCTCTTTAGAACCCCATTTCAGGGAGTTGAAGGCTGCTATTCAGCCTTCTCTTCTCCAGACTAAGGCCCACTCCCTCAGCCTCGTCTTGTAAGTTCTCATAAGCCTCAGCCCCTTAACCATTTTTGCTGCCCTAACCTGTACTCTCTCCAATTTTTCCACATCCTTTCAGTACCTGGGGTGGGGAGGGCAAAACTAGACACTACTTCAGGTGTGACCTCACCAGTGCTGAATACAGGGGAAGGATCACTTCCCTCAACCTGCTGGCAATGCTCCTGCCAGTGCAGCCCAGTAGGCCGTTAGCTCCTTTAGCAACAAGAGCACACTGTTGGCTCATATTCAGCTTATTGTCCACTGTAACCCCCAGATCCTTTTCTGCAGAGCTGCTGCCCAACCAGTACCAGTGCATGGGATTGCTCCATCCTAAGAACTTCATGCTTATCCTTAATTGAACCTCATGAGATTTCTTTTGGTCCAATCCTCCAATTTCTCTAGGTCTCTCTGAATCCTAATCCTATCTTACAGTGTAGATACCACTCCCCACAGCTTGGTGTCATCTGCAAATTTGCTGAGGGTGCACTCTAGGCCATCTTCCAGGTGATGAAGATATTGAAGAAAACTGGCCCCAGGACTCACCCTGGAGGCATTTCACTTGATACCAGCTGTCAACTAGACATTGAGCTGTTGACTACAACCCTCTGAGCCTGATGATCCAGCTAGTTTTCTATCCACATTACAGACCCTTCATCTAAATCATATTTTCTTAGCTCGCTTGCAAAAATGTTGTGGATATCATTTAATCAGTATCATTTGATATTTATATAGTTGTTATCAGTCCCTATGCCCTATGGCTTAGACTACTGATGCCAGACTCAGGTGGATGGAGAGCATAAAATGGCTTGCAAGTCACCATGCCTGGCAATTTACACCTGGGCAGACACCTGGTGAGGGATATCTCTGGGCAGTAGAGTTCTGTGGTGGGGGCCACAGTGGCTGCTTAGGGTTCAAGAGGGGCCAGGATTGGGCTCACAGTGGTGCACTGTTGGATACCTGGAGAATCAACTGGTTCTGCTGATCCACAATATCATCGGACAACTGTTCAGACACCCTTTACGATACGACAGGACAATGTTAATATGTTTTGTCCTGTGAACCTTTTCTCCTGTGATAAGGGCTATATCTGTTTGTAGTGTAAATGACATCTGAGGGTGCTTCAGAAACACATTCTAGGCTTCAAAAAAACGACTTCACCACCACAGAAAAGTAAAACAGTGTTTTATCACACCTAACAGCCTATTTATACTCGATACTTTTGCTAGAGTGGGAAGTCCAACTTATTTTTTCAAGTCTCTGTTTCTCCTCTCCCTAAATTTCTCTAATTTCACCCATGGAAACAGATTAAATACGTTAACTCCATAATTTAATTTCCTCCCCTATTATTATTCCCCAAGAAATAAAGATCATGGGTCATTTGATTTGTAACCTCTAGCAGCTAATGCTACCAAAACATCTTGCACTATGAAAAAAATCAATACTGCATTTACTTAAGATGAGGTTTTTTTCCCCATTTAACATTGAGGGGAAAAAAAGCCCACCACCTTAGAATTGCATACTGGTGAGGGAGGGAGGGGAAAAGAGTTGATGTGGCTTGGCCTCCAGCCCCTACTTGGGAGTCAGAACTAAAGCCACAACTGCTGCCTGCACTGCCCCCTCCCCTTACCCTGGCTCTGCAATATATCAAGTTCCATCCATGCTGCAGCCTGGGGCACTAAGCATGTGCCCAAGCTAGAATGCAGACAAAGCCTGCCATTGACTTTGGGTGGAGCGGGGAAAACAGAGGCTGGGGGGAGGGGAAGGCATGGGGCAGATGTGGCACGGCCAAGCTACTTTACGTCCCCACTGCTCTACCCCCTGCAGTGGTAGAAGGGATGAATTGAAAATCACCCTCTAATAATTAGATTCTATTCATGGAAAGTTATAAACAGAATTTATAAATTTTCCCCATATATAGAATCTAATTATGCAGGAGGGGGTCATGTTAAAATTCAAATAAATGTAATAGTTGGATCAGAAGTGGTCTCAAAAGTTTCAGAAGTATTCAGGGAAGTACTGGAGCTTTCCCAAATGGTTTGAATTCTCATAGCGCTGCAAGAAGATTCTCTGCATACTAACTCACGACAGCATGAAATCTACCAAAGCAGTGACTTGTAGTCTGTGACTTATAGTAATGGCAGGCCTCTGCTGAAAATTCCCAAAATAACGTAATTGTAAAGACAGCAAATCCAACTTCAGATTAAAAATAAGCAGAACCATTTTCAAATTATATTAAGTAGAACTAAGGAGTTTGTAAATAGGTGTTAAAACGAATGAAAACTGGGCAAAAAACTTAGGTTTAGGAAGACAACTTTTACAGAACTCAAGGACAAAAAAAAATTATCCTTACTTTTTTTAGTCCTTTACAAACTGTGGGTAATTCCCTGTTACAATGTTTAGTTGCAAGGCCTGTGGTATATCAGTAATTTTCTATTTTTACTGCTCAAGCTAGGAGAGATACATACATGTAATAAAAAGTAACTTTGTGAAAAGCCTTTTTTTGCACATGTAGCAAAGAAAAATGAAATCTTCATAAATGGAATTTTACCCTGCATCCTTCCTCTACATATAAAAGCATCAAATCATTTAACAATGCAGTTAATTGTCAAGTTCAGTTTCTAAAAACATAATTAAAACAATGTGGTACTGCAACTCATTCTTTAAAGCAAAATTACTCCAACATTACTAGATAGCAAGTCAAGCTTCAAAACTACAAGAATTCTACAATTGCCACCAGAATGCAATACTCTGAACATCCAGATTGTCTCTACTAGGATCTTAAATCACAAGTTAAGAAATTAGAGGGAAAACAGTGCTTCATACTGCACAACAGCAGACTGAAGCAACAACAAAGTCTCCTTACCGCCTGCTGGCAGTTCAGCCCAACACTCCCCTTCTCCCCACGCACAACTTTCATCAGGCAATGCAAAGTACGCCCTTTCCGATGCAGCCCTGAGCAGTGGTGCTCAATCTCGCCTCGGCAGCTGAGGATGATCTCTGGGCTGAGTGAAAAGTCTTCCATTAGCATGCGCCGGTAATCCAACATTTCACCCTGGCACTCACTGCTCACCTGCCGACCTAGGCCAAATGAGAAAGAGATAAGTTAGCATTAAAATTTAGTGAAGTTATTTGATAATGCCAGGAGCATTTGTGAAGAAAAACATTTCATACACTGAAGAACCAGGAATATTACCTGCATTTTGTACAACCTTGGACACTACGATGTATATACAAATTACTGAATACACCTGATTGATCCACAAATCTCCAGTTACTATTGACAACAGACCAAATTGTTAAACGCACTTCAGATCAACAACTGCTTGAAATATAAAATTCTTTATTTCAAGAATGTTTTTATACCAAAATGGAACATTGCTTTTGGATAAGAACGTTCCTTTTTGGACTCTTATCATTAAGGAGAAGCGCTTGATATAATACAATTAGAGACCAGACCTCATAGATTTCTGATCTCATAGTATGTTATCTATTCTTCATACATTCAAACCATCATTTTCAAAGAAATGGAGCAAGTTGCAGCAATTTAGAAACTTTATATGAAACTGAGGAAAGTGTATTTTAGCACATCCAGGGCCATGCACCCCTGAAGAAGAGCCCAACAGCCACTCAGCCCACAGCCCTCCCAGAGGGCATGGAGTAGCAAGAGGTGCCCTGCCCCCCCCGACCATTCTCATTGCAGCTGGCACCGCTTGCTCCCGGGGCCACTGCAGTAGGGGCTAGAGTGAGTGCGGACAAGCTGCACTACGTCCTGCACTGCCCAGGGTTCTGTTTGCTACCACTCTCCCCAGCCCCTGCTGCAGTGGCCCTGGAAGCAGCTGACACCAGCTGCCTGCACCATGGAATGGTGCAGCTCAGAAGCTGGGGTGAGTGGGGACAGGCAGTGCCCAGGCACAGGGGAGGACAGACAGAGCACAGTGTAGCCCTGGGAATGGCACCCCTCTCTCTGCCCCTTCCCTAGTCCCAGCCTCACTCCCCCCCTCACCACCTTGGGAACCTATCCCTATTTGTTACTTTATAAAGTGGGTTCGCTTTATGCAAGGGAAGCCTGTATAGCCTATGACCCTGAATTTCTCCAAATTGATCTGGAGGCTTCTGATTCAATTCTGACCTCTTAATGGGTCGTCCGTTTCAATTCAGATTCTGACATTCAGCCGTGTGATCTCCTCCAAATTGAATCGGCTACTGAAGCTTCACACAGCCCTATTGATTAAGTCTCATCTGGAGTACTGTGGGCAGTTCTGGGCTCCACATTTAAAAAAAGAATATGGATAAGTTAGAGAGGGTCCAGAGGCAGGCAAGAAAAATGATCAAGGACTTGGAAAGCAAGTCATACAAGAACAGGCTGAAGGAGCTAGGCATGTTCAGCTTGCGGAAAAGGTGCTTAAGACGGGACATGGCAGCAGTTCTTAAATACTTGAAGGGCGGCCATAAAGAGGAGGAAAAGCACCTTTTCTTTCTTGCTGCAGAGAAAAAAAACCTTCTTCACTGTGAGAATAGTGAGGCAATGGGATAGACTGCCTAGGGAAATTATGGACTCTTCATCACTGGAGGTGTTCAAGAAGAGGTTGGACAGCCACTAGTTGGGGATGATCTAGGAGGTGCAGCTATGCCTATTTTCTACCATGGGTATTTCTCATGCTTCTGGGCTTTGCTTGTTGCTCACACCCTGCCTCCTTTTCTGCTGTGTGTGTCAGGCTGTTTTTAAGCCTTCCCAGAGACACTGGGTGTTTGGCTACAAGGGAAGGCTGGGAACAGACAGAGTTTCTTGCTAGAAGGCCTTGCCCCTGGGTTCATGATCAGGTCAATTGCCATATTTGGGGTCAGGAGGTAATTTTACCCCATGGTCAGACTGGTTTTTTTTTTTTTTTTTTTTTTTTTTTTTTTTTAAA